CCCCCCCCCCCCCCCCCCCCCCCCCCCCCCCCCCCCCCCCCCCCCCCCCCCCCCCCCCCCCCCCCCCCCCCCCCCCCCCCCCCCCCCCCCCCCCCCCCCCCCCCCCCCCCCCCCCCCCCCCCCCCAGCTCCCTGGAAATTTTTTTGGATTTTCTGGCAAAATTTTTGACATTTTTCTACCAGCAACTTTCTGCCAAAAATTTCTAAAACTTTTTTTCGCCAGTGCACAGAAGCAGAAGTGCACAGCACAGAAAGATAATCAATAGCTGACAACTTCTATCATCTTTTTGAAAGATGTGAGCGGGGACGTCAAGAAGTTTTCTGAATGGGAGAGTGAACACACAAATTTCGGAATAAATTCTATTTTTTTTAAACGTCAGAGTAAATCACGGTCTATTTACTCTCGAATTCGAGAAATCAGAGTAGAACTTAGAAATTTCGTTTTTTTTTTCCTTCCATCCGTGCGAGTAACAAAAGCAGAGGTAAAATAGATGTGACAAAATATATACAACAACAACAATAACATTGTCAAAAATCATTTCTCTAAATAAAAAGGAACATTAAAAATACCGGCTAATACAAAAAACATCTACTAAATGGAGGAAACTGCGTCAGACAATGTTTTTCTGATAATTATCCGTTATTTCTTCGAGTATACTAACTAATTTTGTATACTGGTCGAAATTTTTTCTTTGGCTAGTTTTGCACATAGTTGTTTATGAGTTGACCACCGTAAACGTTGACATGTTTCGGAACAATAGTTTACCTACAATATGAAAATTAGTCTTGTAAAAGCCATACGCTCACAACTGTAATATAAACGTATACAGTGGTTTAAAAAATATTCATTAATAAAGTCATTTGTATCTATAAGTAAACTTTTTTACATTTGATCATATTGTAAAACCGAATATTCAGACGATATGATATGAATTTTTTTCAAACAAAATATAGAAACAGATGACTTTATTTGAAAAGTTACACTTAGCCATAAATGTAGTCCACACTTTTGCTCTATCTAACAGTAAAATTTTAAAGTTTTGGGTTTTTCTAGAAAAACTTCTTTTCAGATTGAATGAATATTTATTTGAGTCACTGTATAGTTTGACATACAAAAGATCAAGTCGAAAATAGACGATTTTGAAATAGATAAGCTATGTAAAAGAAGGATAATTTGCTTTTCCTACTTGTTTGCACGCTGTACATCGTTTTCTTGCATTTAATTCTCCGCATGCATCACATATTGTTTCATCATCTTCATATGTTCGACCATTCAACATTTGAGTTAAAACACATAAAGCAGATGGACGTTGTCCCTTAAAAGAAACATATCAACTGTTTCACAATAAACAGCATCGTTTATCATTACATTGTACAAACAGCGCAAGATCTTTGAATATGGATTTGTAATTCTAATCCATCGAACGGATGTATCTTTTGTAAAAAGTACTCAGTTTTATGAGGATGAATCTAATCTTAATCTTCTTAAATGATTTTAATAGACGTTCTTTTCCAAGTACTGGAATAGTCGGTCTGTTTTCGATAGTCAATACAATAACTTACAATTTGAATGGGCGCAATTGTTCTCACTAATTGTTGCAATAATGGACATTCTTTATACGGAAAATCTCGAATAGATTGACGAATAAATTTTTCTTCATACAATCGAAAACCATCAGTAGCTGTGCCCTTGGCAAATCTAAATAATTACAAAAACAAAGGAGTGAAAGAGACTAGTAAAATTAAAATAATGTAATAAGAAATACAGCATTGCTACAAACATGATTTTTCAAAAAAATCATGCTTGTAGTAATGCTGTATTTTTTATTAGATTATGTTGAAAGAGACTAGGTCGTGGGGAGATCCTGAATAATTACAATGATCCAGAAATACCTTCATATTCCGCATGAAATTAAACGTACTTTTTGATTAGTTCGAGTATAACTGTTTTTTTATTCTTGTCAACATCATTTTGACACTCATTTATGCATAAATCGATTAAAAATTTGATAAAATGTGCTTTAATAGCCAATATTTCATTTGGTTCATTTGTATGGTAAGAGTGGAGCGATCGTTCGATTAACGAGCTGAGAGTGATAGATAAACTGTTTAGATTTGCCATTAATTCTTCGTTTTCAACAATAATCGATAATAGCTGGAACAGAGAAACCAAAAATTGAGTAGAAAAGTAGACACCCACCTACATTGTACGACACAACATTGATCCTACCTACATGTACAGGATTAAAATTTGTACTGATCAATAAACTTTGAAAGTACCTTACGCACGATTTGACTAATTTACCATCCTTTTCTTGACCTAACAAACATACAAATAGTCAGTCATTTAAAAACTGAGCCTTAATTCTGCACATACCATGAGGTATTGTGTAATATTTCAGATCATCTAATGTTACATAATTATTGATTGTATCAACACATTGCCGTTGACCTGTAGTAGCAAATTATTTTATCAAAAATTTTATTCCTCAGATGTAATTCTGTCTGTGTACCAGTGAATGCAGCTAATTGTGCTGCTGTACGATTTATACGATTTGTTTGATGAGGTTTTGCACCAGCTTCAAGCAGAACTTGAACAACTTGACTATTACCTGAAAAATAATCAAGATCGATTGCCAAATGTAAAGTCAATTTCTCAACTCACATTTACCTGAGAGTGCAGCAAACATAAGAGCTGTATAACCTTGATCATGTTCATGATCGTTTACATTGGCACCATGTTTTAATAAATATTTACACATTTCAACGTGACCTTTGAATGCGGCATGTTGTAATGGCGTCATGCCGTGCTAAAGAGTTTTATAGTTTTTGATGATAACAGTAATCTCTCAAGTTCTGAGAATTTTACTGGATGTCTCTGTCCCGTTCGGCTCCAAAAAAAGTAATTTTGCTGTTGTGAAAAGATTAAACACGGAAATCAGATACTATATCCTACTTTTTCGCGTAAAACGGAAAGTAAGCTCTAGCTCTCAAGCGCAGAGGACGGTTTTAGTGAGAAGGCTCAAACAAATAAAAACAGAATCCACTTACACTGTCACGGACATCAACTGGAACATCATTTTTCAAACATTTTTCAACTTCATCAATAAGATCTAAATAAAAACAGTATTCTACATATTTACTGAGTGAAACGGAAAGAAAAACTAATGTACTTTCTGTAGCATAATCAATAATTGTTTTTTCGTGGTTGTCAGCAGCCATTGTCAAGAAACAGTAATAACCGTAACAATAGAGTAAAGAGTTAAACTAAAGAAGATTTTTTAATCTATATATACAAGAAATGTTTGTTAGTAATCACAATCTTTTCCCTAACATTTGAAAAATGTTAAAAATCGAAGAGTGAGATGATGATATATCTTAATAGACGGCGAGATAAATTATTGTTCGAGAAAATTTATAATGTCTTGAAAGCAGGAATAAGAAGCGCAGAAGCATAATTCATAAGACAAGGTGTATAATCAAAGTCTCTTGCTGGAGGTCGTTTTTTAAATATGCTTAAGTAGTTCAAAAAACTTAAATTAAGCGGGCGTTTAACCAGATGTTGATAGCAAAAACTTGAGTAGTAGTTTTATGACTTCTGTTTCTTCATTGATGGCAATGCTCAGTCTAAGCATCAACTTAAGCCAGGTAGCTACTTACCATCAATTAAAACTGGCAACTAAAGTTAAGTAGCTATTTAAGAATATTCATAAAACCACCTAGTGAACTCTATACAAAACCACTATAGTAGCAGTTTATATTTAGAAGACTAAAAGCAACTGTAAGACTGGAGATACGAGTTGGAAATCACGAAATATCACGTGACTTTATGAACTTTTAACCAAATTTCCTTTCAATAAATGAATCATAATCAAATTAACCTATAATAATATCGACTTTTTTTGCTGACGTCTTATAGCCGTAAATATAAACCCTTGTAAAATAAAGATAAAAGATAAATTCTCCGTTCGGAATAGTGAAGTTGGCGGTTCAACCAACAAGATCGGATAATTTATCTTTTCGATTTTCAATTTATTACACAGGGACATCAATATGTATCCATGGAATACACTTTGGATCTCACCTTATTTACCATTGGCGACTACTAAACGAAAGAAAAAGGATAAAAAGATGTCGTACACATACGTTTCTAGCGCAAATTAGGAAACAAATCGATCCTCTATTTGTATGATTGAGTACCTGTTTTTGTCTATTTTGGTTTGCTTATAGCTTTAATATTGTTTACAAAACAATAGCATCTCGCAAGACAAATGAAAGTAACCGCAAATTTTTCCGGTACGATGTCCTTGTTAAGTAGTCCATCGAGAGGTTTTCTTTTTACAGTGCGTGCCGGGAACAGGTCAATAGGCAGCCTATAGGAGATTAAATTTTTATAGTTGTGTGAGCGTTGATGAGCACTAGCGACACACAAACAACCGCTCCGAGTCTTCATAACAAGATATCTAGCCCAGAGTCCTACACGTTAAGAGTTTTTTGTAATCTATACTCTAACCTATTAAAGTTCACGCAACGTAAACCTAACCTATAACTTCAACATCCTAAACCTAACCTAACCTGCTAAAGTTATGTTCTAACCTAACCTAACCTATCCTAGAAATTTGTCCTATACCGTTTTTCTATCTTTACCTTTTGTACATATCTTTTAACTTGTTCAAATACTTGTTTATTTATTTCCCTTTAACAATAAAAAACTACATTTTTCTAAAATTTCGTAAAAATAATATATCATCAACTAACGCGAGAACCTGCCCAGATTGCAAATCGCTTTCGGGCTAAACCTAGTGGGTCAGAGGTAATCAAGGGTGCTGATGCCGAATATAACAATCATTTTGACAGATAGATCTTCAGAGACCGGATTTCCAGAAAACCAGTTTTTCAGAACTCCCAAAAAATAACCAAAACCTTTGTTAATGAGGCAGGATTGTAGTCCGCAGATTTCTAATTAAAATGAGACCTCTCCGAGCTCTACACAATCTTTCTTCGCAAAGTTATAGAATTTACAAGAAAAGCCCTAAATGTTCATTGCCAGCTCAAAGCTACAGAAATAAGAAGAAATTAATTTGGCCCACTAGGTTTTAGCTCGAAAGAGATTTGCAACCTGGGGAGGTTTCCTCGTAAATCATTGTTCAAATTTTGTCGTCTTCTAAAATTCTTCCGCTTGCACTGGAAATCCTTTCACTTGTTTGCACTACTAGCTGGTATACCCAGTAGTGAAATTGTTGAAAAATTTCCCATAATCTAAATCTATCGTAATCTACAACTTTCGTAACCGATTCCTAACCTAATCTACAACTTCAGCAACCTAAAGCTGGCCTAACCTGCAGGATACTAATCTAGCCAGACTGCCACATCACCTCGGTGGTGCCGTAGTAATACCCATCTACATGGCATCCCATCCCTTTTCCACCAAGTTATTTACCTTGCGCTACACAGCAAAGGAATATGCTTTAAATCCCGCGAACCTGGATTTTCTAAAAACCATGGCTGATCAGATAAAAAGTTCTGATTGTTTTATGTCTACAAGTTAACAGCATTGAAAATATGACTAGATAATAAGTGAAATTAATTAGAGAGCTGTGTGAATATCTTTTCCAGGATAGTTGTCTTACATTTCTGGGATTAGATACGATTAGCAACAAACTACAGTAGACATAAGAAAATGAGACATAAAATGCTTCTATTTAAATAAAAATAGTTAAAACAAGTACGAATGTTCTATTTTTATATGCTCGCACTAAATATAAGGTATTTTCCCCAAACCTTCCGCTTATTTAGTTTTTACACTTTCCTCCGAAAATAAACATTGCTACAAGATCCAGAAATGTCATTAAAATTGACTCTTTTATTAATTTCTAGAGATTTATCAATGAATAAAATCTTGCTTAATAGCTCATCTATATAACTGTGATTAATATAATAGAAAATAATTGTTCTCTTTCTTTCTCTCTCTTTCGTCTTCTTTCCCCTCTTATTAACGTCACATTAAGATTACTTTCCTTCCTCACGCGTGTCGTAAACCGTGAGTACAAAGGTAAGTCCATATATAGAGAGAGACAACAACTTGATGTCCACCGCCAATAATACGCTTCCAGGGCTATCACGACCAGTGAGACTTTGGGGAAGGAGGGTGTACTCCAGAGAGACAAGAATTTCTTTTTCAGAGAATGCAAGAAAATTTTATTTTTCTGCACTCCCTGTGTACATACGATTAATCTACGCTCAATCTAAAGGATGAAAAAATCGTGCATCTATCAGTAGTTTGCTAGATTTTTACCTCATCCATCTAGCATGCAAGCAGATCTGATATTGTAGATCAGACGGAAGCACCAGTAGCAAATGTAAAAGTGAGCCACTTGGTATTATTTCATTACCTCATCAACATGGTTTCGATATATGGCGAAATACTGATTATCGCAGAATTTCGACTCATTTTATTATTCCGATTAACCTGCGGTGCAAAAGTAACTGCCGAAATCTTCAGCCATGGTTCTCCGGTCAAGAATATCGTAGAAAATTCATTCTTTTTCTAGTTGAAACAACAAAGCCTGAACTTCAAAAAACATAGGAAACAAAATTTTTTGGTATTAGCTTTGAGGGAGAAAAAAGTACTATACCAAATGTCACCAAAACAGCTCTTGCAACTTTTGTCGTCTTCCAACGTATCTCTCTTATCAAATCTATTTTTCCCTATAACAGAATACG